TTGAGAAAAAGGAGTACATAGTCTTCAAGGGAATAATGATTCAGCAGATGACCAGAGAGCTGCTTATGAAACATCAACAGGAGAGTGGTTGAGAGTGGCCAGTTCAAGATTAGAGTCCAGTGAATTAAAGGTTAAAAAAAAATTACTGCACAGATGATTTGGACTTCTTTCTCCTCTGAGATCATACAAAGTACATTGGAAGATAAAAGGCTGTGATTTCCATTCCAGTTTATTCCTTCAATAATTGGGGAACTATAGTGATGCATCCCAACGTTAAGATTTACTGACGCTTTAGACAGGGGTTGGCTTCCATGGTTCTAATTTCTCCATTATACAGGTGATGGTCGGTAATTGGACCACTTTGCTTAAAAACCTCCAGTGAGGCAGAAGTTAGTTCTCACCAGAATAACACTCCAAATCTCTGGAAAGCAAAGTACCTATAATTAACCCAAGGATCTTTATTGGCTGTTAAAACCATCAGGTGAAAATTGCTAGGGAAGATAATATGTGCATGAATCCAAAGTGTCACCTCATAGATTTTTTATTACAGGTGCACAGGGGAAGTAGGGAGGCCATCTTAACTCAGTGATGCAACTGAGTATTTTGAATGGAGGGGCCACCTTTCATTTTATGCCTCCAAATGTGATGTGATACAAAGGTGACTCAGACAACTTGTTGCTCAAAATCTGAGTCCAATCAAGCTTATAGACTTAACTTTCAGCTTACAAAAAATACAGGAACAGAAATTAAACACCACCAAATACAGAATGTGGGACATTGTACAAGGTAACTGGCTTGCTTTCTTCAAGGAGTCAAGGGCATGGGAAAAACAAGGTGGAGTGACTATTCCAGAATGAGAGAATAAAGATATAAAACAACCAAAGGCAATGTGTGAAACCTGACCAGATGCTGGTATTTGGGTTTGTTTGGTTGGTTGGTTGGTTGGTTTTTTTTTAAGTTACAAAACATATTTGAGAATAGAAAAATGGATATTAAACATTAGAAAAGTATTTTACAGTCTGAGATACCATAATAATGTTTTAGTCAAATTAGAAGAAGTTCTTTATTTTTAGGGGAGATAGAAAACAAATATTGCAAAAGGTTAACTGTTGATTCTAAGTGGCAAGTGTGCAGGTGGTAATTATTCTGTTTTCCCAACTTTTCTTTTTTTTTTTGGATTGCAGCCATTTAATGAAATTGGAGACATTTTTTAATCTTCTTGAGACTCCATATCAGGCTGTCTACAAAGTCCACTGGGAGGCCGAGGATCATTTTGGCCCAGGAGTTTGAGGCTGTGGTGAGCCTCAAAGGGCCACCGCACTACAGCCTGGGTGAGGAAAGACCCTTTCAAGGGCCAAACCGCATGCTTGCTTGCTGTGGTCATTAAAAACTCTAGTTTTAAGTTAGCAGGTCTGCCTGTTACAAGATGAAAAACTCCATTTAAAACAGATCTGCCTGCATTTCTTCAAGCATGAATTCCGAGTCCTTTGCTTCTTGAGAACTTGCTCCACAAATTGCTCCTCACAGTGTAGTCAAACCGACTCTCCATACCCAAGCAAGCCATCCATGGATAAAAACGTTACTAGCAGAACCCATAAAGTTGGTCCAGGCAAGTTGGATTCCACCATTTCAACTTCCAGGTTTCTGTGTAATGCCTGTGTACCAACAGCTTGCGTTAGGCTTGCTCTTTAGGACTTCAGCAGCTATTCTCATCCTTCCTTTGGGACACAACTATCCATAAGGTGGTATTGAGAGCCACATTGCATCTGCACCTAGCTCCATACCTTGCGAGAGCGGCCTCCTACCTCGAAAGTTTCCCAACTTTTCTATATCTTTGAAAATCTTCATGAAATAAGCTTGAAGAATCTTTCTTTCTTATGCCAACATGAATCTGCTTCTGTTGTGTTCACCTAATTATCCTAACGCCGCTGCCTCCAGTTCCATTCTTCCCCTCTGGCAGCACCATGACAGGGACTGTGCCCACTCCCCTACTGAGCATTCAGAGTTATAACCTGGAGAGCTCAGCCTCTCAGTCCTCTCTGGGCCTCAACATTTCTCTACCCCCTCACCTGCAGCTGCTATTGAAATACACTGTTGGTGGAAATATAAACTACTACAGTCACTATGGAGAATATACAGTTGCTACGAAGAATAGTATGGATGTTTCTCAAAAGACTACTAATAAAACTGTGATCCAGCAATCCCACTACTGAGCATTTATCCAAAGGAAAGAAATCAGTGTATGGAAGAGAAGTCTGCACCCCCATGTTTACTGCAGCACTATTCACAATAGCCAAATATGGGATCAACCTAGGTATCTAAGAACAGATAAATGGGTAAAGAAAATATGGTATAATACACAATGGAATACTATTCAGACATAAAACATAATGAAATCCTATCATTTATGGCAACATGGGTGGAACTGGAGGACCTTATGTTAAGTGAAATAAGCCAGGAACAGAAAGTTAAATACCACTTTTTGTTCTCACCCATATATGGAAGCAAAAAAAAAAAAAAAAAAAAGTTGGTCTCCTAGAATTAAAAAGTAAAAAAGAATACTAGAGGCTAGGCAGGGTAGAGGAAAGGAGGGATGGGGAAAAATTTGTTAAAGGATACAGAATTACAGCCAGATGGGAGGGGTAAGTTCTAGTGTTCTATAGCAGTGTAGGATGACCCTGGTTAACAATAACAGGTTATATAGTTTTAAATAGCTAGGAGGATAGTGAAAGTTCCCAAAAAAGAAATAAAAAATGTGTGCCATCATGGCTATGCTAATTACCTTGATCTGACCACTATATATGTATCAAAACACCACTATGTACTACATAAATATGTACAATTATATTTCAATTGAATTTTTTTTTTTACAAAAACAGACTATAAAAAAAGAAGAACTGCTAAAGACTTCCAAAGCTATGTCTTCAGGCCAGACCTCTTACTTGAGGTAATAAAAATGTAAATGTAATGTGACTGTGAATGTAAATATACAAAGAACTTTCTTTACACTTCACAGGAAAAACAAGATCCAAAACCACCTACTGTCAGAGTACATTGCTTTCTCCCATGTAATTCCAACCCTCTCAATTTAAAGTGTTAATATGTTACATATCTAATAAATTCTTAATTAAAATGCTTGTGACTTTTCAGTTGTTTTAATTAAATCAAGGTTTAACCACTTTTAAAAATACACAGATCCCTACTTAGCATACACAGGATGTAATTTTTGACTCTTTTATTCATAAGTTTAAAGTACCTTCATGTCAGAACCATAAATATCTGTACACTGAGTATATGCCAATTTGGAGTCTACCACATATTGAAATGGTATCAAGAATTGGGCTGAATCTCTATTACCTCCAGAACTCACTTGGAATTTACTCAAATTTCAACATTTATTCATGTTTTAAATCTCTTTTACACAAAAGTAAATGTGTAAGGAAAGACCTAATATTAAGTCTATGGTTCCTCGCAAAAGAGTAAAAATTCATAAAGGGTATTTAAGTAGAGAGAAGGAAACATCTAATAAAAGGGCAAAGATGTAGAAAGCACACAAAACTCTAACTTGGAGATCAAATGGTTAAACTCTTTGAGGGACCTACCAAGACTCACTGGTTTTGAGTAAAGCTCTGGAATAATGTGGTGTTTCTATGGCATTTCCAAGGAATCAAGGCAAATGGAGGTATTTTTTACCAAGAAGAGTAGGCAGAAAGAGCAAGTCTCAAAAAACGCAGAAACACATAAAATTGTAGCTTGCTTCCATTATACTTAGCTTGCTTCCATTATACTCTCTTAACTCATTTGCATCTCATTTGTATCCCATGAGGTATAAATATGAGCTACTACAGAGCTCATATTTATAATGGCTACATCAGTTTGCCTACCAATAATAGGATTCATTTGACTTTGGAACTACCTGTTTGACACACTAAGACATTTCTTCAAGGTGTCTTTGAAGCCCGGTATCTGTTTACAATCTGCAAATACACATCGCTTTCAGGTCTCTCAGCAGATATGCATGAGTTCACTCTGTAAGTTATGACCAATACAGGTAACTGCTTTCTTTAAGCTGATTCTTTGCTCATTTACATAAACATTTCAGAAATGAATGAAACCATTATTCTTGATTAACATATGGTGTCAATTCACTAATTATCCTAAGCATAGAACTGCTACATATTCCCAGATTACTTCTACTTTGCCTAACAATGATCATATGTAGATACCATGTAATTTAAAATTTTTTCCCAGACCACACAAGGTAAGTGATTTCCCAAAAAAACTGGATTCTATTTTGCTGAGTAGTTACACAAAACCTGGAAATGAAATCAAACAAACTAAAACTGAAGAATTTATTTATAAAGACAATATTTTTATTTTGTCTCCCCTAATTATTCTCCCCTGCTTAAAAAAAAAAAAAAAAAAAAAAAAACTATGAAGGCCTTTTAGAAGTGTGATGGGTTAAGTCCCCTTTGTTGGAAAGTTCTGAAGTCTTCATGGGCATGATAAAGGCTTAGCTGAACTAATGTTTCTGAAAGTTCATGTTTGCCGTTATCTAAAGCTAACAGAGGTGCAAAGTCATAACTGAATTTTAACCATATGTCAGAGAAACCAACTTCTAAATTTGGAAATAATAACAGTTTAATAGACAAACAAAACAGTATCACAGTGAATAAAATATTAAAGCATTATCTTTTTTTCATTCAATAGCATGAAGAGTTTTCTGCTGTCATACAAAGATTGCTCTTTAAAGCCAAATTAACTAGAAAAAAAGACTGCCCACAATACACAGAGACACAAATTTATCATTGTAGACATTATACAGATAAGCGAAACACATAGTACCCACGTCCAGAGCTTTCCAGAAATCTCATTATATAACTCACCAATTTACTCAGTGTTACATTTCAGACAAAACGCACATTTTTAAAAAAACTTATAAATATATAAATTTAAACCACAAAACATCTTCTAAACATGATATTTACTCTAAACACAAGTAATTTTCTGGAAATTGCATCACAATACTATCCAAACTAGATTTTATGAAATCATAAATGTACTTAGCTGTATCTTGGGGCTTAAATTCATTGGACCATATCCCATATATATTTTCATCCTACTTACTTTGGGCATACAAGTTCCCAAAGTTTAGTTTTACAATTAGAATCAAACTGCTATTCCAGTCATGTCAATTTGTTCTGAATACAGACATTGGAATGGGTGCACTGTACCTGCATGACACAACAAAGATTTCATCACAAACAAGTTAAAGTCATCTTAGTAATGCCCCCTTTCTAAGAGTTACAAATATTTTCATGTTAATCATTAGTAATGGGTTTTAGAGACTAAAATGCTTTTAAAAATTTTTGCCCAGTTTCTGTGAACATTCTAGTCTGCCAACTTGTAATCTGCTAAACAATTTCTTCTCAGAAATATACACATTCAACTTTTCCTACATCATGAAAAGAAGTTCATTAACTGAAATCACCTAGGTTATGCTTTTATTCAAACTAAATTGTGTAAGAACTTGAATCCAGTCCAAAACCCACTCCAAGGCAGCAGGGATAGCAACGCGGTAAGCTGTACTCTGCCCCCACCATTCTACTTCCTTGAAGGGTCTTTTCAAGTAGAGCATCCGCTTTGCATGTCTCTTGCCCACCCCTCTGTCTAGACTACAACACAAAGTCTCGCACATAAACCTAAACCATCATATTTTGATACAATTCAGTATCATACAGCAAAATACTTAGGTTCTCAGCACTCCAAACTGTGAGCAAAAGTATCTCAACTGTGTCTGGGTTTTCACTGCCACAGTTCACCTCGAAATGTTATAAGATTCAGTTAAGTAAATCCTAATGGAACAAAATATATAATGGGAAAAAAAGAAAGTCTTCATGAATTTATAGCAGCTAATTTAAATGGAACCTTTTCCGGACAACTGGTAAGGCTGATTGAGCAATGTGGTTTAAAAAACCAAAACTAAGATGTTAGAAGGAAAGACTCAAATGAAGGTTTCATGAAGAATAATTGCTCTGTGAGAAGTTCACTCTCCTCCATTCTTCTCAGAGAAGACTAAGGAGAGAGGAAAACAGACATGGAGGAAAGAGTGTGTCTCAAGGACAAGCAGCCACATTCTGCCACGAAGTTGACTGTGATGCAAATTCCTCAATGATTTTCATTCCCTTGAGTAATGTGGCAAAACAGGTATTCAGTTGAAACCACCCAAGGGAGTGGAACTGAGCTTCCTCTTGGCAAGGGAGAATGCACAGAAGGAACAAGTATCTCAGTGGGAACACTGACCACAGAGAGTGACTTAAGAGAGAAAACAAAGACCTGAAGACAATTCCAGGGTGTTCCAATACCAGGTTTACGGGTAGGGAGGGAGCACACTTTGTAACAGATGTGTCTCAGGCAACTTTCCTCTCATGTCCAACTGCCATCATAGAATGTCCATGACTACGAAAACAGGGATCCATTCATTCCCGACTCTCCCTACAACATAACACACCGCAATCCTACTGTCTGTCTGGCAGTGCTGAGTGAAACCCTACCCTTTCTCTGGGAAGACTCACTGCTGTCAATGCTCCATGAAGGGTGAGCTTATACAATTTTGCTAAACCTTTAGTAGAAATGAACATTTTTACTTCCAGCCTGCAGGAAAACCAATTGAGTCAACACATGGCCAAGGGAGCTTTGTTAAATGTCATGGACACTAATCATAAAGAACAAAAAAGAAAATAAATTATAAATTATCTAACTTCATACTCAAACAGGGCAATGTGTCCAGTTTCTTATTTTGCATACCAATTAAGAAGGAGGCGCCATACAGTCTAGAAATTCATGACAAACGCACTGGCAAAAACCATACACCATAAGAATAACAAGGCTCGAAGGGACCAGGCTGACAAAGACGACCCCCAGGGTGACTTTCTTAGACACCAGTAAGTAGATTCCTAAGGGTAAGGAGCTGAAGTACAGCAAACCTAGCAACCACACCAACACCCGGATGGATGTCTGAAACAGCAGGGATGTGCAGTTCCACACAGTCCAGTTGTGTGACACAGTGGTGACAGAGTCGAAGCTCGCAGGCCTATAAAATTCTACCACAGGAGTGGAGCTCAGGGACGGGGAGCTCTCTCTCTGCACCTCCATGATGGTTATGACCAAGCAGTTGGAGGACGTGTGAGAAGGACTGACCAGAGAGGCCAGCCTCTTGGGGGTGAGCAACAGCTCTGTGGGGTTCTCTGGCAGGCACTTCTTCCCTTTGCCTCCACAAGTCAAGTTTACGAGGATATTGTTGTCATCCGGCAGGCTACTGACTTCATCATCTGGCAGGCATGTCTCAAACCTGCAGAAAGGACAGACAATGACACCTTGTGGGGAGTCCCCAAAGTCTATGATCTTATAGAGGCATTTGGCACAAACCCTATGACAACACTCCAGCACTTTGGGTTTCCTCTGTTTCAGATTGTAACGATTGTAACAGATCTTGCACTCGAGCTCATCAGAGGCCTGAGACTCTGCAGTGTCTTCAGGAGGTTGACTGGCCATCTTGAATTATGTGGGCAATCTTCTGCCACGTGTGTCTTGTTGAAGAATGGCTTTGATTAAGTTGCCCCTCTGAATATTATATCATCCAAATCTGGCAGCGACGCAAAAAGGCAGGAAAAGTAGTGAAAGAAACCAGAAATCTTCCAGGCATTTTCAACTTCTGCATATAACTCTGTCTCAAATGCATATTTATAAAGGCCACATGAAGGGTCTGTAAAGAAGAAAAGAGATTCTAATGTAATGAACAGTTCATTGAAAAGGTGTTTCTGAAAAGTGTTTTATGGAATTTTCTGAGCTTCAAGGATTAGAAGCAATAGACTTCGAAGGTGAAATCCCCTTCAGCTTTTCACATGCTTTTGTCCCCAGAACAGAAAAGTGTTATCTTCATGTTTAGCTGTTTCAGTCTACAAGCAGGATAGTGAAAAAGGAGTTAAGAATCCTAATGAGTATAAAGGACAGTTTAGAGCTAGCTATGTGCTCAAGAACATACTTCAGTCTAGAAACAAGAGGTTTTCACTCTGAAATTTGTAACAAATTTTGGCCTCTGGAAAGAGAATGGGACATGTATCAGAAATACAAGACTAATTCAGAGTATTGTTGGTGTAAATATCATGTGTCTAAGTACCATTAATAGTGCTTAGGAATACACAAAAGGGAATATTAAGGACAAATGTTAAAAATGTGTTTTCAGAGAGTGCTTTGATAGAGATGAGAGCATATTTAAGTAGAGCAGACTGTTCTCACCTTCTCAGTGTAAAGAAATCTGTTATATAAGTGCCTTTATTGTTTGACTATTCCATTTCAATTTTTTGTTTCAATACCAGTCTTGAAAACTACAGCTGTGCATATACGTTCACTAAAGGAAGAATGAGGCATATAACACCCGTTATAAGCATTATAAACAAGTCAAGTCTAAGTCCCAAGAAAGAGAAGTAAACACAGATAAAACATGCATAGCTATGTCTCTAGACATGAAGAAATCACTTGTGCATGGTTATCAAGAAATACTCAACATTCACTTACTCATCTACTTTATTTCACGTAAACTCTCTGTAGTAAAAGGAAAGTGTCATACAATCTACAGTCCTTACTATTACTATTACTGGTCATTACCAGCTTTGGACAAATGGCTGAATGTTAGTTTCATATGCACAGTCAGTTCTCAATTTCAGTACTAATGGAAGAGAGCAGTAATATAGAAAATTTCCAAATTATTTTTAATTAGCTTTAATATATATGGTATTTTTGGAAGTTGATTCACCTTAAATTATGTTTGGCTTAGAAAAATATCAAAATACATTTGAATTTCTGAGCACACCTCCAAGCAATAATAGCAGAAAGTTGCCATAACAGTTCTGAGGGAAGAGTGTAGCTGCGCTAGACATTTAATTTGCTATGGATCATACTGCACTAACAGAGAAAGGCAGTGGGTAGCTGAATTTAGGTAACTTTAAAAATCATGAATAGTTGACTTGTTAATACATATTACCTTTATTTTGATTTAAGACTTTAATTTTTAATGGATTTCCTATTCTACAAGAATGTATAATGGGTAGCAGTGGCAAAAAGAAGTCAATCAATAGAATCTCTGGTAGCCAAAATCTAGGTAGGATTTTTTTAAATACAGTTTACTGTGTATGTATGCCTGTATTTCAAAACTGGAACCATGAACCAATCTCTATGTATCCAGCCTAACACACACACACAAAAGATATACAGACACAAACATCAACTCTTCTCTCTCCCTTCCTTCCATGTGCCCTAATGATTTTCCTCATTCCTGATCCTGATCCCATTCAGGATACACATGCCCATCTCACTGCAAAACATGACCATGTCCTGCTCACAATTCCACAAGGCTGGTGTTTCTTCCTCCTGTGAGATGGACATCTTCAGGATGACAGCCAAAGAATAGGAAGGAGTTCTATCCTGGTCACCACACCCAATCCTAGCTCCCTTTATGGGACAGTCCCTAGCCTCTGGCAGTTCACTAGTGATCTGTTCACCTGGAAAGCTCCCATTCATTCCCTGCTGAACACAGACTCCTACAACAGTACCCCTGGTAGCCACACATAGACCTAGGCCCACCCAAATGGAACATGTCATGTGTTCTTTGCAGCCACACCCCCACCAAGCCTTAATGTCCTCTAAAATCCAGGTTAGAAAGCTGATGGCCCAGTAAGGTTAGCAGCATTTATCTGTCCCCATTGCCAGAGAAAGGACTGAGGTATGTGAAGTCATGTGAAAAAGGAAAAGAAAGTATGTAAACACATGCATAAAGACATCAGAAAAAAAGTAAAACATCCAATGAAGATAACCAGGCAAAATTACATCTAGAGGCACAGAAAGCTAGCATAGACACGTAAGTGTTTATGCATATGTGAGAACACATTAGAACATCAGCATTTGACAGTCAGTGGGTCACACTCCCACTTTCTGTACCAAGCTTCCAACCATTAGAAGAGTAGCAGTAACACTCTATGTTGGGCCAGCCACAATTTCTAGCTGATAATTATGTGAATCTAAATTATTTCCCTGACAATAGAGAGCTATTATTTGAAACAAAGCTTTCTTTTGTTACAGAAATACTCTTATCAGATTACTGAATATGTTAAGATAGAGTGTTTTGTGATTATAATGTTCGTATTTATAAAAATTTATATAAGGGACTTCTCAGTAGCATGCAAAGAAAATACTCAATATTCAAATATCCAATAAAAATATGCCTACTCATGTTCAGTGACTATCACATAAAGATATATACCAAATTGATATTCATCCCTAAGTTCATAACTTCTTCATGGTAAATAATTTACTTTTAGAAGTCTCCATTTTGCACATATTTTGTTTTACTTCCTCTATTGCAAACTATCTCATTCTAAGAATCCATAAACCGGATACTCAAGGGTTTGAGAATCATTTTCCTTTGCCTTTGGCTGTTTTTCCTAAGCAATGCCTTTCAAGTTCTACCTTTTAATTTGGAGAGCTGTATTTCTATATACTAGTTAAATCCAAAATCCATTAGATAATAATTCTTTATATGTTTACATTTTAAAAACATTTGTGTTTTTTTAACAGATTGTCTTGAGCCTTTGCTGTTTGGATCTTGAACTGTTTTGGGATCTTCCTCCCCACTTTTTCATGATGTAACTCTTCTATTTCAAATTTTTAAATTTATTAATAGACCATCGTATCTAAATATTCTTTGCCCTAGCCCCTGTCATGTGTGGCAGCTTGTCTGCAAATATGGATGTAATAATTCTCCACAGCCCTATACAAACCACTTTCTACAATGTGACCTTTTCATCTGATCAACAGAAAGAGGAATCTGTTTATCCCCACCTCATAAATCTTGACCTTGTGACTTGCTTTGACAAACATTAAGAGTTTGAAGCAAATTTGTGACCTAAGGGTGTCTTGAAGCTTCTGCTCTTACTCTCTTGGAATTCTGAAGCCACCATCGAAGAGTCCAGGCTAGCCTCTCGGAAGATGAGGAACCACAGAGAGAAAGGCCCAGACAAAAGCCAGTACCAATGCCAGTCATGTGAGTGAGACCATTAGATACCATCCAGCCTCAACTAACCACCAGAGACAACACCCATTTGAATGAGTGACCCCATGAAAGAGCAGCTGAACAATGTGCCCCACTAAGCCCAGTAGAAAAGCTGAGCCACAGACTCATGAACAAATAAAATGGCTGTTGTTTCCGGCCACTAGTTTTGAGGTGGTTTTGTAACAATAGATAGCCAAAATAGCATGCTAAACTATTTCCAAACTAATCCAAAGCCAATCTCTGTCCGAAGAAATTGTCTCATTTATCAGTGAGTTACATTCCAGCCTACCTGGAAGACTCTTTTACGAACTTTGAAGCTGTCCAATCCACAGATCTTGCAAGTTTTGTTTTAGACACTGTTGGTCAAAATACAATTTCTATGTATTCTTCCATGCATAAATTTTAATAATTTGTATTATAATAACTTCTATTAATTCAAGTCTTTTTAAAAAGCTAAAAAATTTTGGAAACACTGTATAACCTCTACTACAGTAAGAGGAAATTATAATTCCTACATAATAGGTATATGAACATCCATCGAAGTTAAGTATCTTTCCTAAGATTATATAAGAACTCAGAACAAAAAAAGTCAAAATATAGTTGAGCAAAAAATACAAAAACAAAAAAGCAAAAACCAGAGCTGTCACTGTGATCCTATTGTTTGTCTATCCAGGGCTCTATGCTGTGTGTTACTTCACTGTCCATATGACTTAATTGTATAGTTCTTTATTTTTTTTTTATTTTTTTATTTTTTAGATGGAGTTTCACTCTTGTTACCCAGGCTGGAGTGCAATGATGCGATCTCAGCTCACCGCAACCTCCGTCACCTGGGTTCAGGCAATTCTCCTGCCTCAGCCTCCTGAGTAGCTGGGATTACAGGCACGTGCCACCATGCCCAGCTGATTTTTTGTATTTTTAGTAGAGACGGGGTTTCACCATGTTGACCAGGATGGTCTTCAGTTCTTCAAATTTTTTTTTTTTTTTTTTTTGAGATAGAGTCTCACTCCCTCACACAGACTGGAGTGCAGTGGTGCAATCTCAGCTCACTGCAACCTCCACCTCCTGGGTTCAAGCGATTCTCCTTCCTCAGCTTCCTGAGTCTCTGGGATTACAGATATGTGGTACTACACCTGGCTAATTTTTGTATTTTTAGTAGAGATGGGGTTTCCCCATGTTGACCAGGCTGGTCTTGAACCCTGACCTCAGGTGATCCACCCACCTCGGCCTCCCAAAGTGCTAGGATTATATGCATGAGTCACCTCGCCTGGCCTCTTCAAAATACTTCATATACGGTTTCATGTAGCCTAAATCATTTTCATAGAATCTATCAACCATTTTCATTTGGCATCAACAGGAGAGTTTATATTTCTCCCCTTATAAAAAGACAGCTGTCAAATTTCAACTCTCATTTCCAGAACACTTTTCCCATCTGGGAAAATAAATGTTGTAAACACTGCCTCTAGATGATAAGATAATATATTTTAAAGGGATCTGTAAGAAGAAAACTGATACAAGTTAAGGTATTGTCATGTTCATTATCTATGGTTTCTGTTTTTAGAAATAGTGCTAAATATCTGCTTCTATGTTCAATTTATTTTTGTGCAAAATGGAGCATCATTTTTCAAACACTTTCATTTCTTGATCACCAGTTTTTATGT